AATCCCATGCAATAGATAAGGGTGGTCTGGATGGCAGTCTCCAAGGGTACTTCCAACTGGAGTACTCAGAGACAAGTTCTGGTCCAGAGTACCATTTCTAACTATAAAACAACTTACCAAACATGAGAAAACTGTTCTAAGCCCATCAAGGAATGTTCAGGATTATTAAAGATGCTTTTTCTAATCCTCAAACAAGCCCGTGAATGGCTACAAATGGATGGCTGCCTTGGCGTACCATTCTTGGCTGAGAAACAGGATTCCAAGTAACCAATTGGCTCAGTTAAAAGATTCCCTACATAAGAAAATTAGGTGAGAAATCATTAATCAAAAGGTCAAGTAGAATGAAATAATGCCATTTGCAGTAACACAGACAGACGTAGGGGCTTCCCTGGTAGCTCACCTGGGAAAGAATCCCCCTGCAATGCAGGAGACCCTGGTTTGATTCCTGGGTTGGGAAGATTCCCTGGAGAAGGGATAGGCTACCCACTCCAGCATTCTTGGGCTTCCCTGGTGGCTTAGAAGGTAAAGAATCCATCTGCGATGAGGGAGATCTGGGTTCAATCCCTGGGTTGGGAAGATCCCCCAGAGGAGCCCAAGGTAACCCACTCCAGTATTCCTGTCTGAAGAATTCCCACGGACAGAGAGCTTGGCCAGCTACAGTCCATGGGATGGCCAAAGAGTCGGATGTGACTGAGTGACGAAGCACAGCACAGCACAGACAGACCTAGAGATGATCACGCTAAGCAAACCAGACTCCATGCTAAGTGAGAAGGCCAAACACTTGATATTGCTTATAGGTGGAATCTAAAAAATGATAGAAATGAACTTATTTACAAAACAAACAGACTCAAAGACATAGAAAGCAAATTTACGGCTACCAAAAGGGGAAGAGGAGGATAAATTAGGAGTTCGGGCTTAACATATACACACTATTCTACATAAAACAGCCAAAAATGACCTACTGTACAGTATGGAGAACTACACTCTATATCTTATAATAACCTATAATGGAAGAGAATGTATGAAAAGAATACACACATACATATAACTGAATCAGTTTGCTGTATGCCTGAAACTAATACATTATATATCTACTATATTTCAATAAACAATTTTAAGAATAAGATATAAAAATTTTTAAAAGAGAAGGCACAATTTTCTACATAATAGTGTTAACACAATGTATTAAAACCCACCATCATTATTTTTCTTTTCCAAGCAGGCAAAAACAAACAAACAAAAGAGGTCAAGAAAGGAAGACGTGTTTTCTTTAACACAATGACTTCATAGTTTTAAAATCTACCAAATGTTTTGTGCACACGTGTATGCTCAGTCGTGTCCAACTTTGTGACACCCTAGACTAAAGCTGGCTAGGCTTCTCTGTCCATGGAATTTTCCAGGCAAGAATGCTGGAGTGGGTTGCCATTTCCTACTCCAGGGGATCTTCCTGACCCAGGGATCCAATCTGTGTCTCCTGCCTCAGCAGGTGTATTCTTTACCGCTGAGCCACCAGGGAAACCTCTACCAGATGTTCAGTTCAGTTCAGTCACTCAGTCATGTCTGACTCTTTGCAACCCCATGGACCACAGCACACCAGATGTTACACAACTATAAAACAAGATTCTTAAAACATTAGTAAGTACATACAAATATCCTCATCAATACATATGCATTGTTATGCCCTTTTAGATAATAAACTGGAAAGAACATGGGTGAAAGGAAAAATTCCTTTTTAGAAGACTTACCATAACTATAATTCAAATTCTATGCTACCATAACTATGTATGTGACCTTGGCCAGGACTATGGAGTATTTCAAATAGAGGGAATAAGGTGCACAAAGTTAAATGACAATTTTTCTAGCATAAGAAGAGAACGAACCAGTTTGATTGACTGGAGTGTTGAATACAAGGCAAAGAATAATAAAAGATAAGGAAACCGGTTGCATAGAAGATGCTTTCAATTGAAAACGCAATACATGAAACGAACTAGTTTTAAGCAATAAAGGGAGTGCATGGGGTCACAGTATACAGCAGTTCTTAGTGCACGTGGCTGTTCTGCTAAGAGCTTGCCAACCTTAGCCACCAAAGATCGAGAGAGATGACATCACCGCTCGCCTCAGACACGTCACGTGGTCGCCTGAGCACATGATCCGTAACTCCGCCATAAAAAGGAAAAACAACCCTTGTCCATTCCAGGTCCCGCATGGCCCGTCCCCCCTCTGCAGTAAAAGCGGTTCCCCGCTCCTGGAGGTCTTAACGCGCGCAGAACCAGCAGCCTCTTAGAAGTTACCTGTCTCCAGGGCCGGCTTCACACACCCGCACGGGGTCGCTGTGGGGCGAGGCCTGGACTCTTTCAAGTCGCGCATGGCTACGGGTCACACCGGGGCCCACCCAACGCGCTCAAACCTTCCGCTTCCGGTTTCCCTACCTGGCGCCTGCGTAGTAGCGGTGCCGGCGGATGGCGCCAAGATCGAGCACGCGCGGGGCGGGGGCGCTAGGGGAGTGAGGCGCCGGGAGGGGGACGTCCAGGCTGCCGCTAGGTGGCGGTTGGAAGTTGGAGGCCTCATTCCGCGGCTGGATCTGTCTTGTGCTGTCTCGCGCGGACCCGCTTCAGTTTTAGGGTCCAAGTTACCGCCCTTTCCACTGAGAACAAGTCGATGAAGATTTATGTATAAAGATACTCGAAATGATAAGCAACCTACACATCCAACGCATGACCCTAATTTTTAAATAAAAGAATATGTATGTGCAGTTATCCATAGCGAGATGACGGGATGTTAGAAAATGTTAATACTTCTTGAGTAGTGGGAATACACAGGTGCTCATTTATACTCTGTATGCTCCCAATTTTTCCATAAGAAAAAGGATGTTTTGTCAGAAAAGAAACCCAAATAAACCTCGTTTCAAATCTAACGGATGTGTAGCTCTACACCTGACTAGGGAGGGATAAGAAGTGGGGACCATTCCTTGTGCTCCGTACCTCACGAGAACTGAAGCGAGAGTGAAAGTGAGTCAACGGCCGTGTACATTGGGATTGTAGTGATTGTCTTGCGGAAGCTCTAAAAAGTTGAGGGCCTACAAGAATCAGTTTTCAGCCCCTGCGATGACCAGTTACCCCTGCAGCGCTGACCCGGCCTCTCACGTGTGTGTGTGTGTGTGTGTGTCCGACTCTCTGTGACCTCAGGGACTGTAGCCCGCCAGGCTCTCTGTCCATCGAATTCTCCAGGCAAGAATGCTGGAGTGGGTAGCCATTCCCTTCTCCAGGGCATCTTCCCCACCCAGGTACTGAACCCAGGTCTCCTGCATTGCAGGCAGATTCTTAACCATCTAAGCCACCAAGGCCTCTTACCTACTTACTTGTAACCTTATCTCTCACCGGTATATTTATGAAGTTTCTCTGTATACTTAATTCTACTTCTGAGTTTTTTATCCTGTTTTTTTCTTGGGCGGGGGGAGGGAGAGAGACATATTGCCTGCAAAACAAATTATTCAGGATCATAAAACTCCACAGATTTAAAAGTTTAACAACCACGAAAAGCTGTTCCTAAACATGTTCATGTGTCATGAACTAATAGACCACTATCAGAAAATAACCATCAAGAGTTAAAGATTTAAAGAGAGGATCGTGGGTTTTAAAACAAAAACTTTTTTTATAAAACTGATAAAATTCATATCCCTACATGTCCTCTGATAGGTTTTTTCCACGTGAAATTTGGAAAAGAATGCCCTTATTATGTTTCCAGGAGGGAACAGTTCCGGACAGCTATGAAACAGGGGTTGAGAACTGTTGGGCTCTGTGCACGACGTAAAACTGGGGCCGTAATGGCTGCAATTTTCCACTAGATGGGGGTGTTGCGAAAAGTGATAGTCGCTTTGTGGACCAACAGAAGTATTTGCCTTCTTGGCCTTAGATCTACACAATGACAGTCACGCCAAAAATACGATACCAAGTGTGACATGTTCTGAAATGCACAGCAGACTTGGAGACATTGGTGAAGTAGATTGCTACTTGATTTAAAGGAAAAAGTTCGTTCTCCTTATGGAAAGCAGGAACTTAAGTATGTAGCGCTTTCATTATATGATTTGCGATTTTTGTTATCCTGTCTAGAGGATATATGATTATATAAATAACCATTATATGTGATTATTTGTAGTTTATGATACAACCTTTTCTCTAGAGGTAAGATCTAGGAATCTGCCTTTAAAAAAAAACAAACCCTAAATGATTCAAAGTAGGTATGTGCCTACACTTTGAGAAACACTTCTCAGTATAATGATTCTTTTTTTTTTTCTTAGTTGCAGCCTGCAGGATCTTTGTTGCCGTGTTCAGGCTTAGGTGCCCCGTGGCATATGGGATCTTAATTCCCTGACCAGGGATCAAACTGCATCGCCCACAGTGGAAGGGGGATTCTTAACCACTGAACGACCAGGGGTGTCCCAGTATAATGATTCTTAATCTTTCATTTGAGTGAAGGATCCTTCTGAAAATAAATTAAAGCTTTGGATCTTATCACACATCATATTAGATTTAATATCATAAGATTCATGAATTTTAAAGAACAACCGTTGCACCCACAATGAGAGGAGGGTAGCCCAAGGTAGGGCTAGATGGATTCTTGCCCAACTTTAACTCTGCTATTCCACATGGGCCCTGCATTAACTGTAGTACATTGCATGCAGTTCCTGAACATATCTTGAATTTGCCTTTCTCTGTGTCACATACAATAATGCTGCTATCCTCACCTATATTACAAATCTTCTCCAACTTTCAATGCTCCACTGTGCAATTTTTTCAGGTCACTCTGGCAAAAAAGTGAGTATTCCCTTGGTTGTATCTTCTATCCAAACGGCATTAGCTTTACTCTCTTCTTTTGTAATTCTTTGTTTTCTGTTTTGTTTCTCCATGAGACTAGATTAAACTCCTAGTAGGTAAGGACTATGTGTTATAGATCTTCTGACCCTCACAATGCTTACCATGATGCTGTCCACACAGTTAAACATGTACTAATGATTTAATTTACATTTTGCACAATTACAATATTTTAAAAGTAAAAATAGAAAATCAAAATCACAATATGCAAGTGCAAACATCACTCGAAAATATCTTTAAAGAAGTCCTAGAATAATAAGAATTGTTAAAATTATTAAATTACTAAAAGCCAACTGAAGCCTGCATAAAATGTTGATACTATTGTTACATTAATAATTGATCAAAGTTTACAAGAAAAGTATATACTTCCCCAAATTTTAATTGTTCAGCCTTAAAAATGGAAAAAAAGGAGGGGTTGATAATTTCCCCCAAGAGCAAACATTTGATTAATTCTTTTTTTTTGATTAATTCTTAAGGGGAGTAAAGCTATTAAGTCTGTTCCCACAACTGTCCTCTCCCCAGATTACACATACATACACATATGTGCACACACACGTGCACACACATACACACTAGCAGAATATTGTCTATGTGGTAGAGCCTGAGAAAAAACACTAATTCTCTCTCTCAGATATAGTCTATATGCCTATAGACTATATATCTATAGGTGGGGGGATATTGTTAAAATATTAATGAATATTATAGAGATTTCTACCATATTTTGAGAAAATCACACATATGATGTACTAAGATGTGTATTTTGTTGGATGACTATGATGGTTGAACATTGTTAAAACAAAACATAACTATAGGTGTCATTTTCTGGGTTACTCTCTTGAAGCACATTTGGAATTTCTATTATCTCTGGTTCTTCTGCTTTGGGATTTTCCTTCATTTCTGTAAAATAAAAAAAAATGTAAAAGTAGATTCAATTAACGGTATTGGGACAATTGGCTATCCATTTGGAGAAAAAAAAAAACTACCTCACACTTTGCACAGAAACAAATCTCAGATGAATTAAAGATTTCAATATTAAGATATAATAAATATTGTAGAAACAATAGAATATTTCTTTAATCTTAAGATTTTAAAAGCCTTTCTAAGCAGATCACAGACTAGAAGCCATAAAGAAAAAAGACTGACAGGTTTGAATCATTAAAAACTAAAATCATGACAAGTTTTGAGTAACTAAAAACTAACATTAAAATTTTGGTCATATAGATGTCCAAACCTCTATAAGCAAAGTTAACAACAAGAATAAAAATGTTTATGACTCAACTTATATGTAGGCAAAGATTTAATAACTATTATTTAAAGAGATTTTTAATCAAAAAGATAGATATCCAAAATATAAAATGGAGCAAGTATTCAAACAGGTGATTCTCAAAAGGAAAAACTTAAATTCATAATAATCATAAAAGCAAGCCTGGTATCATAGGTCATCAAAAAAAGTGGAAATTAAAACAATTAGGTTGGTTGGTCTTTAAAAACCTAGCAGATAGGCGCAGAATTTTAAAACATAATCACGTGCAGTGTTGGCAAGGACATGGGGACTATGCACTTACATTAATTCTTGGATTCTGTGAATTGCTACTTTTGGGCTAGTCTGACTGAATGTATCCAGACTTTAAATGCTGGTACCCTTTGGCCCAGCAGTTCAATTTCTAGGAATTTATCCAAGGAAGCAATCAGATCAACTTAAGCTTCCAGTGCCTTAAGTTTCCTTATCTATAAAATACAGACATATTATTCATCCACTCGGGTTTCTAACATTGAATAAAGTAATTCACAAAAAATGTTTAACAGAGAGTTTGGCAGATAGAAAGTGCTATATAAACTTTAGTTAAACAACCATTACTTCCCATGATGTTCATTGAACATTGTTACAATAGTAAAACTTAGCAGTAACCTAGGTGTTCATCATTATAAGGACTGGTTGAATAAATTGCTGTATATATAACATAATACTGGACGACTGTTACAAAGATGTCATTCGGATGGCCGCAATATATATGGCATGTGAAAAAAAGCAGGTTATAAAATAGAATGTACTGTACCATCTCATTTGTTAAAACAAAAACCTAACATTGGGGATCAGAGATAGGAAGTGGTATCATAGGGCACTTTATAGTCACTTAGATATTGCTTTAATTTTTTATAATGAACATTTATAACTATCATTATAGCAATTTTATAATCAGCAAAAAGGAAGACATTTCTACTTGTTTGGCAAGACAAAGAGAAAACAAGATAAGCGTTAATTGCCAAAAAGCATAAAATAATTAATTAATTGCCTGTCTTAACCTCACTGGGTTTAGAACAAAACCCTGAGAATCTGGTGCTATGTTGATTAGAGCCGCGACTCCAGCAGGGGATCCCGTCAATACAGGTAGTGTTTCATATGTCTGCTTTTACTATAATTTTAAAAAGGTATTTCCTCAAAACCAATATTGCTTGGAACCCAACTTAAGCCCAGGTTCCTGTTGCACTCATATGTTAGGAGAAAGAGAAAATAAGCTACCAAAGGAATTTCTTCAGAAAACGATTCTCTGGGGATAGACTGCTCAGCTCAGCCCATTTTCTACACTGAGAACAGTACAGAACAAGGAGAACCACGGCTCTCAGTTATGTCCCTGAGACAAGTAAAATTGAATAAAGATCCCATTGTTTTTAAAATACTATGCTTTTCAGGGACAAATATTGAAATAGAAAGGTAAGCCTGTTAACTCCTACAACAACGAGTTCCCTAGTATCAGGATCCTATTTTTATGTCTTTGTATCTTTCTCAGTACCTTGTACCATGAATTTATTTGCTTTTAGTTTGCCAGGAAATGTTAATTTTCTAGGAAAAAAAAACTTTATTCACCAAGATTTTATGTTAATATAAATGTAATTGTCCAGAATATTTTGCATGTAATTGACTGTACATAGGGTTCATTTTTCTTCACCTACTAAAGCTTCCCAAAATGCATAGTATGTATAGGTACCCACTATATACACTTATAGTTTCAATTATTTTCTTTAAATTACATGGAAATATACCAAATAGATATCAGATGAATGATAAACATTTTTCACTTAAAACTGGACAAAGACATCAAAGATACCTATTGAGATAACTGGAATAACCCAGGATTGTCACAGAAGGCTATAAATTAGTGCTCCAAGGGAGAGACACCTATTTGGTGCTCTGATTATGAACAGGGAGCAGTTAAGAAATGGCAGTGTCACTAACTTGACCCCAGTAAGAAACCCATACCTTGAGGAAAAGTATAAACATCCTTAGCATCTTCCTGCTGTGCTTTAGGATCCTGGTCTTGGGGTCCACCTATTGCCTGGTACAGTCTGGAAAAGCATTCTTTAGGAACATCTTTGTCTTTATTTGTCTTAGTAGAGAGGTCTTCAGGTCCAGCTGTTTCTTGGTATATTTCAGGTGCACCATCTTCAGGTCCTGGGGTTTCTTGGTATATTTCAGGTGCACCATCTTCAGGTCCAGCTGTTTCTTGGTATATTTCAGGTGCACCATCTTCAGGTCCTGGGGTTTCTTGGTATATTTCAAGTGAATATTCTTCAGATCCAGGTGTTTCTTGGTACATTGCTGGGGGATATTTTTCAGGAACAGATGTTTCTTGGGCTGTTTTATGAGAAGGGGCTTTAGACCCAGCAATTTCTTCATATATTTTACGAGAAAAGTGTTCAGGTTCAACTGTTTCCTGGTGTATTTCTGTAGAAAGCTCTTTAGGCTCAGCCATTTCTTGCTGTGTGTTAGAAACAAAGCTTTCAGTCTCAACTATTCCTTGACCTGGTTCAGAATCAGGTTCCTCGGGCTCAGGTCTTTTCTGGTATGTTTCAAGAGAGCATCCCTCAAGGTCAGCTGTATCTTCAGATGTTTTAGGAGAAAGGACTTTGGCTGCGATGGCTTCTTGGCATGTTTTAGGAGAGATGTCTTCAGGCTGAGCCACATCACGGAACATTTTGAAAGGCTGGTCTTGAAATATAGCTATTTCTTGGCACATTTTAGGAGAGAGGTCTTCAGATTCAGCCCTATCTTGGCATATTTCAGAAGAGTGGTTTTGTACCGCTGTTGCTTGGTACTCAGAAGAATTTTCCTGAAGAGTAACACTTTGTTGACCTACTTCCGAAACAAGTTTCTCAGGCGCAACTCCTTGTGGGGACACTGCCGGAAGGAGAGCTTCGGTCACAGGCGCAGGTGGCTCGATTTCTGTCTCTCCAGGTGCTGGCGCTTTCTCCATCGCTTCCTTTTCTAATTGTGAGGGAAGCTCCACCTTCATTTCTGTGTTTTGTTGTCTCTTTCTGCCTCTTTCACTTCTTTTCCCTGTTCGTTGCCACTTGTGTTTTTTTTCTCTAGGGAGAAATCAGAATTACTGTCAAAAACAGGACTCCAGAATTCAAATAAATGTTTGGCAGTAACTGTCCCAGGACTCCCACTGCCTCATCGTGTGACTTTGAACAAGCCACTTAATCTCTCCAGGCCTCAACCTCCTTGTGTGTGAAATGAAGAAGCAGTGCTGAATGTTCTCAACTGTCCGGAGAGGAAATGACCCTTAGGACATTTTTGTCTTTGATGACTCCTTAAACAAGAACCTTCTTAGTGAGCGGTGTGTGTGTGTTTGAGAGCATATACTTAAACTTTGGTTATAGAAAATGTATTACTGATATTATAAATGAGAAGACTGGCATTCTGTTTTACATATGTCTCTTTGGGTTTAGCCTGTGTGAATTCGTTGCTCTGTGCCGGTGGGGAAAACTGACGCGATTGTGTTGCTAGGTCTGCAGCGCAGCCCTGCTTCCGATGCGTCACGTCTGCGAAGCCTGCAGGTGAGGAGCCTGGCTCGCTCACTTAATACACTGTCTGGTGTAAAACAGGCTAAGAGGCTGCAGCGCAAGTCGGATGAGATGTACTGTAAGCCGGGCCCAAAGCTACAGAAACATGCTCTTGAGGTCAAGCAGCTTGGCGAAAAGGTGTGAGTGGTCATATTACACCTACTTTGAACTGATAGTTAAAGATCTAGAAGATGGAAAGATATGCATGAGAACTGCAGCCAATGACAAATTGTTAGGTGTTGCAAATATAACCAAATACAGAAGGCTAACACAGACGGGCTGGTGGGGGGAGGTACTATAAGTAAGCATTTCATCACTTTCTAAACTTACTGAAACTCTTGTTGCATGCTATGTGCCCCATGGAGCCTTCTCTAACAGGCCACAGGGCTGCAAGGTTCTCCATGCTTATCACTCCTATAGGATTTATTAGGAGGATTATGCTTAATGGAGAAGCCCAAATTCTTTCAGTAAACTGGACATTCTTTCAAGATGAAACCAGTGTTTTTTACACCTCTGCAGTTCTCCTGGTTCATGCACGCTCAAAAAATGTATACCCTATTCTACTTTTGTTGTGTCTGAAAATTCCCATAATTAATTTTTTTAAGACTCTGTCTCATCAAAACCAGTTTGAAGTCAATATTTGAAAGGTTTGTATTGTAATAGTATAGTTTAAAAGAAATATTAAAAATAATATAGACGGTAGGAATAATATGATGATATGAAGGTAAAAATGATAGCTCAGCATTTTGAAGTTTCATTTCAAGTAACCAAGGTAACAAGATAAATTATAAAGTCCTTATTATCAAATTTTTAAAAGATGCTGTATAAAATTTTTTTAATTTAAAACTTTTTTTTTAAAAAATGAAAAAAACATTTTTAAAAACTGATGTATGTGAACTCTTCAGGAAACACTTATTATCCTAGAAATCAAATCCTAAATAATTTGTTATGTAGATCTCTATATGAGGGAGTCTGAGTAATACAGTGTTTCCTGTTCTTCCCAGGAGTTTCTCAAAAGATACAAATATATCTGTGTGGTCTAAAATTTAACCTGTACTCTTAATTATCAGCTATGTGATCATGGGCAAGTCAAACTCTCTAAACCTCAGTTTCTTCCCAGGTGAAATGGAGTAAATAATATCTACCCAGCCTCATGTAGTTGTTGTAAGAGCATGGAATAACTTACATGGATGAATTGTCCAAATAGAAATCTGTACTCATATTAATACAGAATATACCATATATGTGTGTGTATATATATATATGTATACATATGGTGCTTCTTCCATGTCAGGCACTGTTTTAAGTAATTTACTTATTCTGTTATCTCATGTGATCTTCACATAAACTTACAAGGCAGATACTATTATAAGCTCCATTTTGCAGATGAGAAAACTGAAGCACAGTTTTCTGAGTAACTTGCCCAAGGTGAAATGGCTGGGACGTGAGGGAGCTAGTCTTCACATCAAGTCGTCTGACTTCAGCCACCGGGCTCTTAGCCATTACACTCTGTCCTTTCTCTCTGGAAATGCGGTTTCACTGTGGTGAGTACAGCCCTCAGCAGTCTGGAAACCATCACAGCAGCAAGGCCGGCCCGCTGCCAAGAGGCTCACCGAGGCCCCACCTACTCTGGTGATTTCTTCAGGCTTGGACCCTCCCCCGACCCAGCGAGCACAGAAACCCAGTTCTAAGAACATACTGAAACCAGCCTCATCCATTTCCTGAGTCAGGGCTCAGCAACCAGCTCAAGGGGCCTGACACATAAACCTAAAGGCCAATTTTTAAATGAACTGTGAGAAAAGCAAAGTGACAATGCACTTTCTCTGTAGCAAGTACTTGAGAAACCAATAATGACCAGAAGGTTGCTTGGTGAGTATGGAAGTCAGGGAGCGAACCAGGTATTCTTCAACAGAGTCACCTGTCAGAGGTCCTGAATACAGACGTTTCCGCTAGAACATATATCCGTTCCTGAAAAACCTCACTTTCTGCAAAATCATGCACTAAAAGTGACAGTGCTTATGGGGAAAAAAACAATATGGGGCAAATGAGTCAAATCCTATGCAACTTTATAACACTAGGATAAACAATAGTTGGTACAGGGGAGATAACTGGGAGAGTCCAGACAGGCAGCTTTTTCTGCGGGGAGGCTGCCTCGGGGATGGTAAAAATGCACAAAAGCACCAGTGTGAATGCAGGCTTTCAGTGCTGAGATCATGCAAATAAGGATGATGCTCTGAGCCAGCAGGGCTGCCGCTAAGCACAGAAGGAAGTGCAACCTGCTACATGTGGCGATTTCTGCAGAGCTAGTGATGTCCTTCCCTGCGGAAGGAGCCCGGATACAGGCTGAAAAGAATCCTGTCTACACAGCAGCCAAGCTGAAGGCTTTTTCCTTTCCTGCTGAAGTTTTTAATTCTATTCCCACTATTCTGGCTTCTTTTCACAAGGAAAAATTACAAACTAACACAACTTCCACTAAAACTGACACCACTCTACTATTTACCAATTACATGTGAGCTAACTGGTGTTAAAGAAACACATGTTGTCACAGAACAAGACAATATTCTGTCCACAGTGAGAATAGGAACTTAAAACACCTGCATTGTATGCTTTTTCAAAAATGATGCATAGAAAAATGTATACCTATGTTATTTTTGCCACTGAATGACACATTTTTCCAAAAATGAAGAAATACATAGCTAAATCTTAATCAAAATTTTGTAAGGAGACTTCCCTGGTGATACTGGATAAAAATCTGAGTCAGGGCTCAGCAACCAGCTCAAGGGGCCTGACACATAAACCTAAAGGCCAATTTTTAAATGAACTGTGAGAAAAGCAAAGTGACAATGCACTTTCTCTGTAGCAAGTACTTGAGAAACCAATAATGACCAGAAGGTTGCTTGGTGAGTATGGAAGTCAGGGAGCGAACCAGGTATTCTTCAACAGAGTCACCTGTCAGAGGTCCTGAATACAGACGTTTCCGCTAGAACATATATCCGTTCCTGAAAAACCTCACTTTCTGCAAAATCATGCACTAAAAGTGACAGTGCTTATGGGGAAAAAAACAATATGGGGCAAATGAGTCAAATCCTATGCAACTTTATAACACTAGGATAAACAATAGTTGGTACAGGGGAGATAACTGGGAGAGTCCAGACAGGCAGCTTTTTCTGCGGGGAGGCTGCCTCGGGGATGGTAAAAATGCACAAAAGCACCAGTGTGAATGCAGGCTTTCAGTGCTGAGATCATGCAAATAAGGATGATGCTCTGAGCCAGCAGGGCTGCCGCTAAGCACAGAAGGAAGTGCAACCTGCTACATGTGGCGATTTCTGCAGAGCTAGTGATGTCCTTCCCTGCGGAAGGAGCCCGGATACAGGCTGAAAAGAATCCTGTCTACACAGCAGCCAAGCTGAAGGCTTTTTCCTTTCCTGCTGAAGTTTTTAATTCTATTCCCACTATTCTGGCTTCTTTTGATAAGGAAAAATTACAAACTAACACAACTTCCACTAAAACTGACACCACTCTCCTATTTACCAATTACATGTGAGCTAACTGGTGTTAAAGAAACACATGTTGTCACAGAACAAGACAATATTCTGTCCACAGTGAGAATAGGAACTTAAAACACCTGCATTGTATGCTTTTTCAAAAATGATGCATAGAAAAATGTATACCTATGTTATTTTTGCCACTGAATGACACATTTTTCCAAAAATGAAGAAATACATAGCTAAATCTTAATCAAAATTTTGTAAGGAGACTTCCCTGGTGATACTGGATAAAAATCCAGCTGCCAGTACAGGGGACATGGGCTCAATTCTTGGTCGGAAAAGACTCCATATACAGACGAGCAGCTAAGCCCATGAGCCACAACTACGGAGCCCATATGCTGCAACTGCTGAAGCCTGTGCACTCAGAGCCCGTCCTCCGTAACAGAAGAAATCACCTCAAAGAGAAGCCCGTGCCGCGCAATGAAGAGTGGCCCCTGCAACTACAGAAAGCCCACAGGCAGCAACGAAGACTCAGCACAACCGAAAAATAAAGTTTGTTTTTTTTTTTTAAAGAAGAAGAGCACTTAGATCAATGGCACTCAACTGGGAGCAATTTTACCTCCTCTCCCCCCACCCCATGAGGCGTTTAACAATGTCTGGAGGCATTTCAGGTTGTCGTAACTGAGGAGGGAAAGTTCCATGGGTTTCTAGAGGCCAGTGATTCTCCTGCCCACAGCATTAGTGACCTCGGCGTTGAGAAACCCTGGCTCAGATGGATGTCGTACTGGGGCTCTCTGGGTTCCCCTTTTCTACTTCCAAGCATGCAATACCTCTGTCTTCATAGTTATATTCTACATGGGGCCTTTAGATGCTGCCTGCTGTATAGTCATGCTCACGGCTTCCCTCCCCGAGATTCCATACAGCTGACTTTGGACACAGGAACGCTCAGACTCTTCCATCACTCACTTACAGACAGTGCTTTGGTTTACTCCATGGAGAGTTAACTACACTCATTAAAGAAGAATTTTACTAATAGAAAGCTTGGAGAACAAGCTTGGGGGTCTTCTCAGTGGTATCTCCCACTCCCAACAACAATGCTTATGTTACTAAAGTGGTAGAACAGCAGGCCTCTCTACAATACACATAATTTGATCACCTGGTAAAAGAGAACAGAAAAAAGATTCTGTTCCCATCACTTTACTAGCTGCGTGACTTTAGGCAAGAGATTTAACCTTCAGAGACTTGGTTTCTTTCTTTTTGAGGGGGTGGAAGATGAATATGGATAACAGCTCCCGATTTGTGGGATTGTTGGAAAGATGATCTATAGTGCATAAAAGCTCTCAGCACCTCTTAACAGGTAACATAGGCTGAGTAAACGTCAGTCCCTTCCCCCTTGCAGTGATACTGTACCGAATTTGCCATTGTGACGTTTGCTTTTCTTGTGCTTCAGCTTTTCTTTTTCTGAGTTGCTCTCTGTTTCGCAAACTCCAGGTTCCAATGACTTCTGTAGGAGCAAAATGAAAGTTGTGAGAGATAGTGATGAATTATGGCATTAACAGCAAGAGTCCTATAGCAAAATGATAGAATCCCCTTACTGAGTGTCTAAGCGTTTCTCCCACCCTTTTGAGGACAAGGGCTATCTCTCATTTATCCTTGTGCCTCCCGAAGAATGCCTGGGAGCAAACATTCAGTCAACATTTTTTAAATGAGAAGGTCAGTATTTGTACATAAATGTGCTAATTTCTTCAAAACAGTGTGCATATTGTACAAACATAAAAGTAAAGAAAAAACCAGCCACGTTCTGCCATCCTTAACATTATAACCTGCTTTTCATTTCATTCATTGTATTCATCTGGTGGTGGTTTAGTCGCTAAGTCATGTCCAGCTCTTGCGACCCCATGGACTGCAGCCTGCCAGGCTCCTCTGTCCAAGGGATTTTCCATGTATTCATCTAGTCCCTATATTAAAGTTGCAATGATTGCATACCACAGTTTTACCATTTATTAACCATAGAAGTAAATTCCATCATCTAGTCCTCATAATTGTAACTTTAGTGACTACATGATATTTAATCAAGTTGATATATTCTCATTTATCCACTCATTCCTCTTATACTGAATATTCAGGTGTTGCCAGTTTGTTTGTTTTTTTTTTTTTGCCACTGTAGATCAACTATCATAAGCATTTCACACACACAGATTTTTTTTCTTTTGTATTTTTTTCCTTTGGATGATGTTTCTCCAAGTTCCTTTGGAATATTAAAGTTACTATTAACAACAGTTCTGTTGCCATCCAGGACTGTGAAAAGTTAACGGGTCTTTGATGTCGAACTTCTTGGAGCCAGTGGAATGATTCCAAATTTGCACTGGGACCTCCCAAAGCGAACACACCTCATGGACCGTGACACCTTTTGATTTCAGATCAGCACTCCTTAACGGTGAACTTGGATGGGGGGAAATTACACCTTTATTTTTACCAATCTAAATGCCCATTTCCTTCAATTATGAATGTAGATAACAAACCACAGTGGTTTTAGCAGAATATAACTTTGTCACAAAAAGAAATTAGGGCTTTTTCCATATCACATTACAGTTATTACAGATACCTTAGAATATCATTTATTTGAGATGAAATATTTGATTTGATACAGTGGTAATGAGATCCACCACTGGATCTTATTATTTAATGCACCTGTAAATAAGCACATATATTATTATATCAAAGTTTTTTATTTTTATAATTTTCTTAATATAACTGCTTCCTATGTAATCATATGTATTTAACTTTATGTATTTAAAAAATTTAGCCTAAGAAGGTGTCTAGAGTTTCAGCAGAAAGCCAAAGGGATCCATGGCATAAAAAATTTTTAAATCACTGTCTCAAGGCCTAGCGTTCTGCAAGAGCAGCCAAAATGCTGCTTTAGGATATACACAAAGACTAACATTAGTCAGTCAACAAAATAAACACTCTCATAGTTCTTGATACTTATTGCCAGATACCTTTCCAAAAGTTACACTATATTTGTGCTACATATATGGTTGTACTTGTTTTACCACACCATCCATTATTGGGTATTTTCATTATCATATATATATAATTATTTATTTACTATTTCCTCGTGTTTCTCCTGTTTACTAGAATCTTAGTGCTAGAAGCCAGCTCAGAAAGTTATACAGCCCCTAATTTCTTCCTTTCTAATACATGAATGTACCCACCCAATGATGCCCCTTTTTTGCCAAACCTGTACAAAGAGGAAAATAATCATAGCCCAATCCTTCCCAACAGCCACTGTCTCTTAAGGTTTCTTTCATTACCTGGAACCTGGGTCTCTCCTTGACGAGGATCAGGTGTCTGATGGAGCTTTGAAAGAGATTGGTCCTTTCCCAAATCCATCTTGCTGCAGTATCTTCCTGCTTTTGGTCTGACTTCCACAAGAAGCCTTTTTTAAAATGTCAAAAGTAACTAACAGTTAAAAGACACACACATAGATGAGTTCACTTGTCACTTGACCTCCCGCCTTAAAGTTTTATCTAGTTGGACCACAGCTGCTGGCTACTTCTACTTTCTTTATCATCCTGCATGGGTGTGAGCAGGGTCACGGCTGATGCTGTCCTCATCCTCCAGCACAGTGGCTAGTTACAGAGGCAGCCACAGGGCTGCAGGCTAGTACACCCCAGCCTCTGGCATGGCAGCCGTTTGTCTCTGCACGCCAAGAAGTGCTCAAGTCTGATGTTCCTTTTCACATACAGAGGTGGCATAGCATGGGAACGACATGAAGTCTAGCACCTAACCAGCTCGATATCCTTGAACAAATCACTTCCCCTTTTTGTGATTCTCTTTCTTCATTTGCAAAGCAGATGAATTAATTCCTGACTTGCCCACCTCACATAGTTCTTGTGAAAGTGAATATAATGAATGCGAAAATTATAAAGATGTAAAATTAATCTTGCAGTGTTTTCCTGCATGTGGCATTTTTTCACCTTAATTGTATGCAAAATAATGGAAAGTCTTGCTGTTGGACTTATATAATAGACAAAAAGATATAAATTCAAAAAGATGGCAATTCAAAACAAATTTGAACCCTCTTCTGCTCACCAGATCATTCATAAGTGACTCAAGACAACTAGTTAAATCCTCTGCATAAATCCAGGGAAAGTCAAAAAGCATTTCTTAATGAAAGTATCAGCATATTATGTCATAGAAATTGGGTTGAAACCAAAGGAATCACCTGTCTTCAATTGGTCACCGCATCTGTGAAGGCAAAGGGTCATAGAGCACCAGGATTGTTCCCCTAGGAAAGGAACATTGACTACCTCCTGATACGGGCACCTAGTCTGTGAGATGAAGGGTTAACAATCTGTCTGGAGTCAGATGTGGGATTGAAGAGGGTTTGAATTCCAGTGTTGCCACATTCCCTAATTCAGCTACCTTAGGCAACTTAGTTTTGGAGCCAGTATACTCCCTACAATATGGGACAATATTGGTACGCATCTCATGAGGTTATTGGGATGATTGAATCAAACAATGCGCTGGACCTTCCCTGGTGGTCCAGCGGATAAGAATCCCCTCCCAGTGCAGAGGACATGGGTTCATCCCCGATCCGGGAGGATTCCGCATACCAAGGAGCAACTAAGCCCACGGGCGAGAACTAAGTCTGCGCTCTAGAGCCCACCAGCCTCAGCTACTGGAGCCCTCATGCCGCAACGACCGAAGCCCACACACCCAGAGCGTGTGCTGCGAGAAGGCAAGCCACAGTAATGAGACGCTCGGGCACCCCGACAAAGAGCAGCTCCTGCTCACCACGACTAGAGAAAGCCTGCACGCAGCAATGAAGATCCAGGGCAACCCAAAATCATAAATAAATAAATAAATGAAAATAAAAACGAAGTGTTCGTTAAATTTAAAACAAAAACAAAAAACAACGTACATAAAGCATATTATCGGTGCCTGGCATATTGAATACACGGTGCCTAGAATATCTAGCCTGCTTAATAAATGTTTACTTTTCAGGCAAGAATACTGGAGTGGGTTGTCATTTTCTCCTCCAGGGTATCTTCCCAACCTAGGGATCAAACCCCTGTCTCTTGTGTCTCCTGAATGGCAGGTGTATTCTTTACCTGCTGAGCAATCAGGGAAGCCCTTTAATAAGTGTTAGCTGCTGTTATTAGTAATAAAAGTATAGTGGCAAGGTTTCAGTAAGTCAAGTCACAGTTTAAAGGTTTTAAAGAAACTCAGAGAAAATCTGAAGGAAATTCTTTATGAAGAGAAAACCTTTATCATGTGAATAGATGCCCTCCACATTCATAGACTCATAAGGCTTTAGCATCCCTTCCTAAACCATCTAGTCCCTCCTCCTATTTTATATACAGAGAAACTGAGAAACTAGGAGGGGAAGGATTCACCTGTCCTAAATTTTCCTACTTATTGCTGTCAGCACATCTTACTGATTATAAGGTGGGTCATCTTATAATGCTTGATCTCACCTGGGTAGGAAAATGTACATGTGATGTGAACATATGAGAGAAGCAAGCTTTTTATTTTTTTTTTATTAAATTTTTTTTCCTTTTATTTTTATTAGTTGGAGGCTTGAAGAAAGCTTTTAAACATACTAAGAATTCTATAACAAGCACTCCAGGACTTCCCACCAAAACTTAATGTGGAATTTAATGACCAGATTCTAAGCTCTACCTTTAAGTTTCTTGGCTCTGCAGACTTTCTCATAAGTAAATCTCTATCTAAAAACTCAGATAGCTTCAGGAAGTCCCTATTTCAAGAAGGGAATGCAAAGAGTGATTTGTAATTTAACTCATGGTAATTTTTAAATTTTCAGATACAAGGTTTTAAAAACTCAAATACAGGTTAAAATAACTTTGAAAATTATAGAATAAGAGTGTTTTATAATTTAAATAGGCATTTTAAATACTAGTAGCCTTATTTGAGATGTTTAAATTCTGACTGATTAGTTTCTTTCTTATGATAATGAAATAAGATAAGCTTTTAGAATATTTCTGGGGTACCTTACAGAAGATGCAAAATTACTTCTTAAATACAGTTATCCTTAAAGCTTCTAAGGCCCAGTTCAGTGATTCAGCAAACCTTACTGAATGTCTCCTCTGTGCCATGTACTGAGCAAGCTGTCAGGCTGTAGAGATGAACAGATGTTTGTCTCTGGGTCCTGTGTACTGTGGGACCATAGAGATATGCACATCTTTGTTGGAGGGAAATAACATTTAGACTCTCTACACCCTGCTGCAGCCAGCCTCCCCAGGATGATTCCACCCCTGCCTGCCTCATGTTCTGATATCTAGAAGCAGAATGTGGAGGGACTATGTGAAGGTGGGGTCTCAAGTTAACAGTAAAAATTAGGCAGCAATATTGGGTGGAGGGAGCTGGTGGAGGGAGTGTGGAGCAAACAGATTGGAAGTCAGGCAAGGTGTCTCTGGTGTGATAAGCAGGCCACAGCAGGAACTTGTCTGGAACAGAAATAGCCACATAGTAAGTTCACAAGCCATAGTTCATTGTCCTTTCCCTCTGTAGGGAAGTCTAGAGTAGTTAGCAGAAGGTATCACAGAATGTTAGGCATTAAAGACCGAATATTTTCAACAAAGGCTGCCTCTTTCTAGAGTTATTTGCATATCTACAAGATACCTCTCTCTAGGCCACAAATTCTCTCAGGGTGGAGACCACTCTCGATGCATCTTTCTGTCTCCAAGGTATAATCTAGTGGGAGGCTTGGCCCAGAGCTGTCCCCATAGATGCCCTCACTCCTGTATGCGCTGTCAGCCTCACGGGCGTGCAGCCTGTCCAAGGACTTTGCACACTCAGAGGGGCTGATGCTGCTGTGACTTAATTATAGTAACATCATCATTTGTTCCAGAGCTCTTTCTACTGTCATTCACTGGCCCTGACCCATGTGCTAAAGACATAGCAGTTAAAAGATAAGTCTCTGCCCTTATAGAGCCTACATGCTAATGGAAGAAATCAACAATATGCATATAAATAAAAAGGTGTATGAATATCAGATGGTGATGAGAGCTTTGGAGAAAAGTGAGCAGGGAATAGGAATGAGGATAGGATAAGGGCAGGATAAGGAATGAGGGAGGAAAGCTGCTGGTAGTTGCTATTTTAAACAAGGCGACAGTTGAGCAGAACTGGAGGAGACTGCGGGGCCAGCTGGGCAGCCCTCTTGGAGGGCCTGTCGGCAGAGAGGCACTGCTGAATGGCCCGAGGTGAGGGAGTGGCAGGAGGCAGGTCCCGAGAGGGAACTTATGCTCCTATTTCTACTCTGAGAGATGGATGGTCATGGGATGGTTCTGAACAGAGGACTGATGCCATCTGATTTTTTTTTTTTTTTGGCTGTGCCCCACGGCATGTGGGATCTTATTTCCCTGACCAGGGACGAAACCCAGGCCCCCTGCAGTGGAAGTGTGGAGTTTTAACCAGGGAAGTCCCTAACATATTTTTAAAGGATTATTCTGCAATCTGCCTGACTTCAGACTCTACTACAAAGCAACAGTCATCAAGACAGTATGGTACTGGCACAAAGACAGAAATATAGATCAATGGAACAGAATAGAAAGCCCAGAGATAAATCCACGAACCTATGGTCACCTTATCTTCGACAAAGGAGGCAAGGATATACA